TCTCCAACCTGAGGGTGAGCTGGAGCCAGGGTGCCGAAGGCACCCGGGTTCTGGGTGAGCGTTTGGATGAAGGCGGAGAGCGCCGATTGCACGTCGATGGTGAGAACCGGAGGGCTGACTTGGCCATCGCTCCGGTTCTTCTTTTTGGCCTCGATGCCGAGGCGGGCATCGGGCGCATTTTGTTGGATCTGGAGGCGTAGGTCGACAGCCGCCTGTTCCAGCCCGGCGATGACACCGCCCTCGGGAGCCCTGTGAGAGGCTTCGGGGGCGTTGACGTCGCCGAGGGCCAGGTTCTTGTCTTCTACGTTTTTTGAGTTGGCACGTGTTGTCCTCACCATTTTGATAGAGGGCTAGTGTTTTGTGTTTGGTCGAGGGGGAGGGTTTCTTACTTGATCGTTCGACCTCTCAATGAAAGCACCAAATGATGGATAGTCTACCCGGGGGTATATATCCGAAGGGTTATTACGGGGAATAACTTAGAGAGAAGTCAGAGCAAGTAAGTAAAAGTAGAGAGAGAGTATATTCAGTATGAGTGCCGTTTTCAGCGTCGTTACAAATGAGGAAATGGGGTGCTATTTATAGTAGCAATAAATGCCGGACAGGGACACGTGTCAAGCGCTCATTGGCCGAGGGGTCACCTCAACTGGTTGGCGCTGGCAGCCGCATGTGGCCGCATTTAATGCGGCTGTTGGATGGGACGTCTGTGCAGGGTACGGTGATCTGTACGCATGTGAGGCGGATATCTTGTCGAGTGAGATGCCTTCGGCCATAGAGCAGTAGCCGAGGGCTCCTCCAACCGATGGCACCCTGGTGCCGAGGGCTCACAGTGCCGAGGGCTACTGTTTTCGCCGTTTTCTCCCAGTTTCTTAATTTGCTTGAGAAACCCGTTCTGTGAGAGTTTTAGAGCCTTCGGCCAGGGGGCCGAAGGCACCCCTGGCGCGTAGTGCGGGCTGCTTGGTACTCTGGGCGCTGTGATTTGGGCCTGTTGGGCCTTCTGGGCCTGTTGGGCCTTCGCTGGAGTAGTAGGAGTCTGTGGGCCGGGGGTTCCCGGGCCATATACTCCATCAGGAGTCCCTCACTCCTTTTGCCGAAAGGTACTTGAGGGAAAAGGAGTAATTTGTGCTTGCCCTTTGATGTTGTCCCGTCGTGATCTCTGAAGTTAGTGAGGAGTTGTTGCTTTTATGTCCCTGCCGAAGGCAGTCCCTCAGTTACCCACATGTCGGGACTTGAGGGCTTGCCTTGTCGTTTGTTGGAATTTCACAGATTTTGTAATTTAATGATTTTCCCGAGGGGGTCCTCCAGTCCCCCACTCCTTGAGGCACTTGTAAAGTGGTGAAAAGGAGTAAAGTAGTTACGTTGCTGTTGTGGGCCGAAAGCTGACGCTTTTCGTTTCATTTTGGGGGGATGCCTCGTTAAAAACCTCATTAGGAAAAACCCTTTGGGAAAAAATCCTAATGAGGGAAAAAGAGTGCACCGAATTCCCCCAATGATGAATCGAAAATGTCAAACCTTGGTAAAAAATGGAGAATGACGGGAATGCTGAAGGCTCTCTCTTCTGAGGGCTCCTGTGTTGATTAGCCGAAGGCTTGCTGTTGATGTCCTGGTGGCGCCGAAGGGGAGCCCCTCAATCCAGGGATCGAGGGCCTGCCAGACGAGGGCAGCAGTGAAGTTGTTGCCGGGGGGTCCACTGTTTGTTGATTAGTTGGTGATGAAGATACCCGAGGGCTCCCATTACCTGTGTGACATGGGTCATCCGTCCATGAGGCAACTCCCCGGGGGCTACCCGGTTTTGCAGTGCTGAGGGGGGATCCCCGAGGGGTGCCCTGATATGAAGCCCTGGGTTTCTGAAGGAGTGATCCCGAAGGCGTCTGTTATGTGCTGTTTGGGGCACAACCTGGGGACACTTCTGAGTGAGTGTACCCGTGGGCTACCCTTGCAGTAGGAGTCTGTGGGCCGGGGGTTCCCGGGCCATATACTCCATCAGAAACGAAAAGCGTCACCCCTCGGCTCCATATTGCAGGCAAGCACTACTCTACTCCTTTACACCACTTTGCAAGTGCCTCAAGGAGTGGGGGACTGGAGGACCCCTTCGGGAAAAATCTTAAAATACAAAGATATCAAAAAACTCCCACAACAGCAAACATGATCCCTCAAGTCCCGAAATGTGGGTAACTGAGGGACTGCCCTCGGCAGAAACATGCAAACAACGAACTACTCACAACTTTACAAACTACAACGGAACAAACGACAGAGGACAAACACAATTACTCATTTTCCCTCAAGTACCTTTTGGCAAAAGGAGTGAGGGACTCGTGATGGAGTATATGGCCCAGGGACCCCCGGCCCATAGACTCCTACTACTCTGATCAAATCCCAATAGGCCCAGGAGGCACAACAGGCCCGAATCACAGCGCCCCGAGTACCAAACAGCCAACAATGCACACTAGGGATGCCTTCGGCACCTGGGCCGAAGGCTCCATATACTCACAGAACGGCTTTTTCAGGCATACGAAGACACTGGGAGAAAACGGAGAAAATCAGTAGCGCTCGACACTAGGAGGCCCCCCGGCTAATCATCTACAGTCGAGGGTACCTTCTTCGACAAGAATATCCTCTCCACATGCGCCTGGGTCGCCGTACCAAGTACAACGTCACATCCAACCGCCGCATTAAATGCGGCCACATGCGAATGCCAGTGACACCCGGTTGATGTGACCCCTCGGCCGGATGCTTGACACATGTCCCCGTCTCACATTTATTGCTACTATAAATAGCACCTCATTTCCCCATTGTAAACCAGATTCGGAATACACTTTGAACTCATATATTCAATACACTTTCTCTCTCTTACCTGCTCTGATTTCTCTCTAGTTACTCCCGCAGTAACCCTTCGGATACATACCCCCGGGTAGACTATCTAAATCTTAACTTTAAATTAAGGGGAGTTCTACGGTGCACCCGTTAATTTGATTGTACCGTACGCGGACCAATAATATTGTAGCACATGGAAAATAATTAAAATATATATGAATTTTAATGTCCATGTGGCATTGTTTTATTTGCCTACGTAAGGAAATGTACCGTACATGCGAAATTTAGAGATGCACCATAGAATTTTCCTTAAATTAATTAATTAAGCAAATGCTGCACTGAGCCGCATCACTTTGCTACATCCCGCAGGTAGCTAGGGATGAAAACAGGACTGGTCCTGACATTTATAGATCCGGGACAAAAAATTGGCCCTTAGTTATATACCGTCGTATGTTGTAAGAATGTATTTCAAAAGTTCTATTATCAAAAATAAAATTCATTACCCAATTAAATATTGGGAAAGTTACCGAAATAGGACTAAAACAATTTGAAAATTCTAAAATAGGACTGTCATGTTTTTTATTCTCAAAATAGGATTAATTATTGCCATGTTTAGAAAATACTGCCATGTTTGAAGTCCGGTACTGCCAAAACATGACAATAACTAGTCCTATTTTGGGAATAAAAACATAACAATCATATTTTGAAATTTTCAAACTGTTTTAGTCATATTTCGGGTAATATTCTCTATATTTTGCCATAGAACTACTCGGTATCATAAACCATACAAAATTATTTCTCTGGGCATTCTTAGAAGCAAAATTAACAAGAATGCTATCAATTTTTAATTCTCAATTTCTGTGAGCAAGGTAGAAAGTCATTCAATCGTGTTTCACGTGTATCTTTGCCTCTGTGGCTCAATCTACGAATATGAGGGTTAAAGAATATCTTTTATGGTGTATTGGAGTATAGAAAAATGATGTAGTGACTAGTGAGACGCACCTAACCAAATGTACCGTACAAACAAGCTCGTTTGAGAGAATTCCGGGTCAATTTTTTTGATGAGTTTTTGTGAGGATGTTTTTCAAAAAGAGTAGAATATGCCAATAAAATTTCAACTTAAAATTCAATTTGGAAGTATTAAATAAATTACTAAAAAACATTGTGTTATATGTATAAAAAGCGCAATGTTTTTCAGTAGTTTATTTAACAGACTTCCTGATTGAATATTAAACAGAAATTTTATGCACATAATCTACACTTAATGAAATAGATACTCACAAAATTTAATCATAAAAATCGATTTGGAAGCACCTTAAATGGACATGTTCGAGCTCCATGTCAGGCACATTTGAAGTGAATAAGACTCAATATGTATATACTAACACTAAATAATTAGTGGGCCCCTCTTCCTACTGAGCCCTAGGCAACAACCCAGGCTGCCCCTATACCAGGACCAACCCTGGATGAAAATGGTACTCCTTCCGACCCTTAAAACTTTGCAACTTTCCTTTTTTGGATGTCCCACTAACTTTGTCACTTTCCCTTTTAAATAAATAATTTGTGGTTCCAACTTATTCTCTCCCCTCTACACAAACCTTAATAACACGATTTTTACTTTATTATTCCCCGTGCCCGTCAAACTTGGCAAAGTTATTAGAGAGTATCTTTTGTTGCTCATCTGCAAGTCTTGCTTAGCAACATTGCAACACCATTAAAAATATTGCCAAAAGACTCGGAACGTGACTTTAATCACTTCTATTTGTGAAATAAAAGCCCAACAATCTTTCTTTGCCATAGAGTTCGTAACATCTGGATTACTCAAATTCACTAATGTTAATTCTTCCTTCCATTAAACCTCTACAAAAATTTAATTTAATCTAATTTGACGGGGTGTTAGCCACCCATAGTTTATTAACACAAATACACAAAGGGATGTTTGAGATTAAACGCAACCACAAAAATATGGACAAAAAACTGAAAAGCATAGCATGAGACGAGCAGAGGCGGATCTAGAAAAGTCATCCTGGGAGTGAAAATATTTTTTTGGGTTCAAAATATTTTTTTGGAGGGAGAAAATTATTTTTCATATATATACACTAAAAAAAATTCTTGTTGGAGGGCGGTAATCTCCTAGGTCTGTACTACTGTCCGCCCCCCCCCCCCCCACAAGAAAGAATTTCTGAATGTACTCTATAACCGTTGGCATAAGCAGCTTTATCTCATATCGCAAATAGTTCGAGATAATGATCAAATTTCAGTTCAAAGGATCATAATTCCTTTATATGAAATGATCAAAGCAAAAACATTTGTATACAAAGAACGAAATCGGGAAATAACACATCACATGCAATGCAAGTACACTCAGAATAAAACCATACATACATACATACATACGTACAAGAAGCAGCAAATAAACTGATTAAAATAAATTTGAAGCAGCAGCAGCAGCCATTGAGGTCAGCCTAGGCAACCAAGCAGGGCCTTCTTGGGGACCTGCCCGCTTGCCCGGAGCTTTGCGGCCGCCTCTTCAATTTTTAAGATCTCTTGGTTCCGTTTGGAAACGGCCACACTTCTCTTCTCTTCTGCTTCCTTATGAACCAAAGCTGCCTTGTTCTTCATCTTCTCCGCGTATTCTGCTTTCTTCTTCTCCAGCTCTTCCTGCATGCCAAAGTGCCCACCACCATTACCAATATAATCTTCACCAACACTCCCAATTTTTGAATTTTGGAAGACATTGTTCATTACATATGTATGAGAAACGTGTAAAAATTTCATATACAAATAGCTTTTTTCATCACAGACTATCAATAAATCCTGAACTACTTCTTGTGTTAATTTAACCAAGATGTAGCTTCATACGACCTAGGCCCTCGGAAGGGGGGGAGCTATTTGAGTTCATCCTCTTATGTGCTATACATTGGACATGTTTATGTACATTATCTCTTACATATATGTATCATAGATTTCAGACTGAAATTACCTCGACCTTCTTCAATTTTGCTTCAAAACTTGCTTTTTTGGTGTTTTCCCAGGACAGCACTTCAGCAAGCTGCTTTTGGGCCCTGCCATGTGGTTCCAATTGAGATGAGTGGAACTAATCACTTGTTAAATTAGTGCTCAGAAAAATGGTAAAGAAGATGTGCATGGCCTACTTGTTCTCTACTTTGCTCTTTTCACTCTCTTCCCATGCCTTGATAAAGGATGTTCTCTTCTCATCCTCAATCTTTGCAAGAGCAATATCTGTAGATTCAATGCCGTTAACTTCATATTTGATATTTTCCCAAGCACTTCACTATCTAAGTCCAATTTGAGTTTTGTCATTCACTCATTTTGTTGTGGAGGAAGAAATGGTGAAAGTGTTTCTATAGTTGATATGAGGGTAGGATTGAAATATTGAATGTGCTAGTTTGCCCTAAATATGTTCTCCTTCTTAAATCATCTCATCCAAGTCAAATATATTGACCATTCTTGCTACCAAGTTCCGTAGTACTATATTACCATCTTAAGATAATCGTCCAAAGTAGATTCTATGTATCCGATACCATACATTTGTCCACACGGACCAATCGGAATGATGTAGTTGAATTATTAAAATTTAAATTAAAAATGATGTAATGACGGAGCAATCGCTGCCATTGATGGCACCACAACAACATAGGATCCAAATCCTAAAATATGATATGTTTTTTCATAATTTCATTCATGTATTTTTTTACGTTGGGTTACCTCTGTCCAGGGATGGCTTTGGGGCTGTACTCAACTGAGGATGATCAGGATTCTCTAACAAATAAGCAAACAAGATATTGTTAGATTCAAGATTCAACTTGTTGCTTTGACCAAAACAGAATCTCCAAGACTAGTTTTCTTAATGCACATTTTTTATATCAACAATTAATTCATACAGAGTATATTAAGGAGGGGATCCAATGATTAACTAAATCAAGAAATTAGCAATCAACAACCCTGACTGCAAGAAACATATAGGGCACATTTGGTATTTAGCCCATAACAGATTACGTAAGCGGGTTTTGAATAACGGATTTAGTATGAAATGGTCTGCTAACCTAGAACGAAGCATTCTCATTTCAGCGATTCCATCCAAAAATACCGGGGGAAAGAAATACCGGGGAAGAATAGCTATTCAACAAATAAAGCTTTCACTTATGAAGTGCTAAAAAGGGACGGCTATTTCTAGCTTTTCCAAACACCCTCATACTCGAAAACAATGGATTGCTATTTGCTAATAATAGTGATGAATATAATCCACTGCTCCAAACCTTATTTTACGCAAGAAAGCAAATTTCCCCAAAAGTTAGCAACCAAATTTATCTTACCAATTGTGGGCAAGTCAAATTCACAAAACTAGTGCAAACATAGCTAGGTGGTTAAATAGTTAAAAACTTTATAGGAGTACTACCTCCGGCAGTCATTTCCTTTTAAAGTACGCATTTTTTATTTTTATCATTCAAAATGCAACTCTAAATGAAAAAAGTCAAGTGACCAGACTTTACAGGCGAAAAAATACTCCTCTCTTTTCCGCTAACAACCAGACAATGCACCCAAATTAATAAAAAGTGGCTAACAATGGGACAATGCACTCAAATTAATAAGAAATGATTTATGTGATTGATATTGAATTGATAAAGTAAGAATAAAGTAAGTGAAACGGATCGATAAAGTAAAATGAGACATTCTTAGTGAGACAATCGTAGCGGGAGAAAGGTACTGAGTATGAAAACGTGCTGGTTACAGAATTGGAAGGATACAGAGACAAAGAGTACTTACTGTGAGCGGCGGCAACGGGCTTTTCCGGGAGGACAGGCGGCACAACCTCTTTGACTGGCCCCATGTTATGAGTCGTGGCGGAAGCGAGAGGTGGTTCTTCTGGCTTCATAACGGCGGCTGGAGGAGGAGGAACAGCGGCCGGTTTCTCCACCACTGCCGGTTCAGCTGCTGTCGCCATATTTTATATATACCCAAGACAAAAGCAAATTACTCCGTATATATATATACTAGCTACTTATATAAAGCAGTAAGACAGTAGCAAGCTAAGCTAGCTGGCTTTGGATGATTAAAGCAATGAAGAATGATTATTCTTAGCTTCTTCTTCCACCTTCAATTTATTCGCTGTGAATTATACAATCAATACTTATACTCTGCTGTATGTGTGAATCAAGCTAAGTTTCGTAGCAGATGTTCTGCCATTTCCGCAATATTAGTTTCATTTTTTGTTGTTATTTTGTCAAATTAAAGCTTCTTATTTATGTCTATGTCGGACAGTTAAGATAGATGTACGTGGACACGTGGCCAATCAGCAAAAGCTACGGGCTGCTTACTATTGACGGATCCTATGCTACGCTTCTGCCACGCGATTGCAACGCGTGGTTTAACGGCCTGTTTGCCGACAGATGATATCAAATTCCGGTATCCATTTGGATAATGATTCTAATTTTCAGCATTTCAATATGGGAAAAGTGGCAAAAAAAAACCTTGGACTTGTCCTGGTACACATGTCCTTAAACTATTTTTTTGTGCAATTTTTTTTAAAAAAATCTGAAAGAAGGCAAGTTAGGCAACCACCCGTTTAATTAACAGATTTAGGGATGTTTGAATCTGATTCTTAAAACTGTTCTGTCCTCGAAGCAGAAGTTGGAGTGTTCGGGTGAAAGTGCAGAAGTGATTCTGGTGCTCTAATTTACTCCTAGAATCAGTTTTTTTAGAAGCTGAGGGTGACCAGCTTCTGAAAACTGATTCTGATTCTGCTCCTGCTTTAAAAAAGAAGTAGAAGCAAAACCAATTCCAAACACCCCCTTAATTTAACCGAACTGAAATCTGTTAGTCACCCATTTGACTGTCATGGATCGTATATGACATACCATAGTACTCCCATCCGTCTCGCAATGCTTTGCCAAGTTTAACCAACACGAGAAATAATAAAGTAAAAACTATGTGGTTGAAATATGTGCAGAGGAGAGAGAAGTAACAGAAACCACAAATTCATTGATTAAAAGGGAAAGTGACAAACTTTTTGGAACATTCAAAAAAGGAAAGATGACAAAGTTATAAGGGACGAAGGGAGTTATAAGGGAGGGAAGGAGTATATGTTAGTATCTTTGAGTAATTTCGGGACATATATTTTAGCTTGTGCTCTGTAAAAGTAAAATCTAGAACATTTCAGTCCTAAAATCAGCACATATATTCATCCAAAGAATAATCGTTGGCCTCAAAAAAATAACACCTTTGTCAAAAAGTGAATTATAGCTATGTGTTTCTAAATCATATCAGTAAGTGATTATTAACAAAAAATTGCAGCCACAATATGCTCGGTTAGTGCAAAAAATAATCCAGCCTTCAACATATGTTATCCATGGAAAATGTCTCCCCGTCCATCATTCTCGTTGACAACTTTATCTCTATGTGATTGAAGTTGTCTTGTTGTAATCGCGGGATTTCCTTCCCAATTCAAACCGGAAGACTGGAAAGGAAATTCTGAAGGTTCTCTAACATCATATCCATCTTCACAAAATCGAATATTCCTCATGGTCTCACTTGCTCTTTTAAAAGGGAGTTTTTTGCGTAATGTTCTTTCACACGGTATCACCATTTTGGTCTGAGCATCAATCAGGACTAATCTCCATTTGTGACGCATCTTCTGCAATAACCGTCTCAGATTCCATACCAGCCTGCAAAATAAATAAAGGTAGTAAATAAAATATTTAGGTATAACACACAAAATATAAAAAATCACAAGTTCTGTCAGTATTTTCATCCACAAAGCAACCATATCCCATTGAGTCTACTGGTGTGTAAGAACAAGGCATGTTCAAAGATTGGTTTGCATGTGCAGAAGTGGTCGCATGATGACTCTTTAGAACTGAAGCTACATATCTGAGCGTAGCAGATGCGGATTTGGTTGAACTTGTGGGTCTAGTTCTTGGTGTTTTCCCTTGCGGTGATACCTAAACGTAAATAAAATGTAAACAACCAAAATATGGTAAATAAACGCCGGTAATGTATAAACAAGTTTTTTTAAAATAAGTATAAACAAGTAGTTATTACTTGGTTGCTCCCATTTGGGCAAGTGGTCCTATTGTGACATGTAAGAGTGCATAAGCTGCATGTTTGTACAATCTTTTTCCTGCTCAATTTTGTTGGATTTGGATTACGCTCATTTGAAGCTCTAATTCTTTTGTGTCGTGGTCTACCAACCATCTTAACAACATTTGGAGGCTCGATAGCTTCATATTAATCACACTGCATGAGCATCTTTCCGGGAACATGCTGCATATGAAAATGGTAAGCAACCAAGTAACTTTTCTTGCTATACCAATCTGCCATCATTGACAATGGACCGATCTTGTTCTGATATAAAGCACACAGTGCATGTGGGCATGGAAATTCCCGTAAGATCCCACCCACTACATGTGCATTGTTGTTTGTTAAAAAAAACTATGTGCTAAGTATCACCTTCCCCCTATCTCGTAACCTGAATCACCATTAAATACAATCGTGCAACCCACAACAAGCTCTTTATTATCCTGCAAAACTCCATGGATCTGGGTGACCAATTATTGAACCACTTATCTGACAACTTCTTATTCTCTCTTATCCTTATCGTAGCTTTGGTTCTAATTTCTTCAAGCATGGTTATGATACGCTTGTGCCGGACTTCTAATATCCATGAATTGAAAGATTTTGTTATGTTATTGTCTACCATCTGTGAATGACATCGTCTACTAAAATAGGCTCTGCACCACCTCGAAGGAGGATACCATAATAGGGATTCTGCAGCTTGCCTACTCAACTAAAAAATGACATTATTTAGTAATAAAAGCTTCTAGTTAATTTAATATATAATTATTTATTAATCAGCACTTACTTTCCCCAATTTTTCTAAATGTTCATTGATTTCTTCTTCAAATGTGCTCCATATACATATCCAGAACCTTTTCTTTGATTCACCGCCATTCCATTTCTTTGACCAATTTTCCCAAACAGGGCTCTTTTCACACACATAGGGTTTTCAATATTCGGAATACAATTTTCTAGATTTTCAGATGTATATAAGGTTCATTTCATATATATATATATATATATATATATATATATATATATATATATATATATATATATATATATAGGGTTTTCAAAATTGACTTAATGCACTATATTTATTAGAATTAAGAAAATTTTGGAATGAATGGATTGAATTGACAAAATATGTAGAAACATAAAAATTTATATTTAAAATATATTTTATTAATTATATATGTAAATATCATATGAAAATATATAAACTAACTTTGTTCAGCAATTTCAGTAATCAAAATAACTTAAACAACCAAGCCTTACTTATATCGATCATTATCCATAATACTCCGTATAATTCAATTAGATCAGCACACGGGCCCAATTGCGGGTCACCAAATCCAGGGGCTTGTACGGGGACGCCCGCACGGGATTTGCTGATCCGGTTGATCCCCTCACCTTGCTCCTTCATTGACTCCGTCAACTACCCATAGAGGAGCTTCCCAAAGCAATTGTCAGGAAACTAGATATAGCGGTAAAACATATAATGCACCAATATGAGAAGTTTTGTGGTTGAGGGTTGGCTATCCATTTAGGGTTGAGCACACCACCCCCTCCACCTGCTATCTTGTAGTATAAATAGCAGAATTTAGTTCATTGTAAATGGTTGACAAACTTGTATACTTAACAATAGACTTCTCTATAGTTTTTCTACAATCTCCAGCTTGATCTAGAGGGTTGGAGCTCGAGTTCGGCATAGGTGTGTTGTAATTATTCAAAGTACCTAATAGAACTCGACTCACTATACCTCTTATCTCCTTGTTAAGTATCTAATTATGTAGCCTCATTCTTGTCTAACACATTCACTAAACAATCCATTAAAAGAATCCGACGAAAGCCAAAGACATTATATTGAGCCTTTGAACCGCGAGGACTTAACATCAACAAGTCGCTTGTATTGTAAAAACTTGTCTCATAAATTTGATATGCCGAAACATGCCGAAACACTATTTGCTTTAATGATATTTGTCTTAGTTGCAAACTAAAACCATGGGCGGATCTAGATGGGGGGCTAACCTGGACTCTCACCCACTCCAAATTTAAAAAATGCGTTGAATTTTAAGGTAAAGAATTTTGTGTAATTTTTTTCTAAAAATATTCTTTCTGTCGGCCTAGTCCGACTCAGTGCTTTGGCTCCGCCCCTAACTAAAACAAAATGTTACATTATCAAAAACTTAATGCATTCCACATTCCAAATGTGGACATATGTGATGTCACTCCATGGTGTGTCCAATATTACTATATGCCGTTATATTATAAGCAAATTCATAATATTTCGGAGGGTCATAGCGTGTGAAGAAGAAGCAATTAAAAGACATATTTTAATTTTCCATTTACAAATATTTTGCAAAATTAAATGTATTAATTTGTGTCGATTAGACGACACAAATGATTCAAATCCACATTAAATAAAATTTAAATATTAATATTGAGAGTATGTGTAGTAATGACTATCAGTAGCAATTGGAAAAATGCACCACCATATTGATCAATGTTCATCGTCAATTGCGCACATGATAGCAGAATCGATAAATGTTTTTCAATTTTGCACGCTTTACTTTCACATGTTCCAATTCATGTAAATACCATCGAAACTCAATCAGAGAACTTTTTAAATTCCAATAAATGATCACTTATGATGCATCATTTTTTGGTAAACACCAATTAATACTACCTCCGTCCCTTAAAACTTTGCCAAAGTTGACCGGCAGGAAAAATAATAAAGTAAAAATTGTGTGGTTGAGGTTTGTGCAGAGGAGAGAGAAATAACAGAAACTACAAAATAATTAATTAAAAGGGAAAGTGGCAAAGTTTTTTGGGACGTCCCAAAAACGAAAGATGACAAAGCTTTAAGGGACAGAGGGAGTATAATAAAGTGATAGTTATAATGACACCAGGATTTAAGATTAGTAAAATATGGTATATATAAAATAAGGAATTGTGGCTGAAATAATTTATAAGATTTATTTAAATATTTCAATGCTTATTGATGTAAGTGAGTTTTACATGTATGTTAAAATTTAGATTAATTTATGAGATTTAAAACATATGGTTTTAAAATCTTATTACTAACTCTAACATTTACTTTCTGCCTTAAAGTTATTAAAAGCCTGTTTGGTAACTAATATTTCTAATTTACCAATCTTATCAGTGTTGATAG